CGTAAGACTCTAACTAAATTCCAGAAGGATTGTCCAGAAGATTATACACAAAGAAAAGGGAAATGCTGTTTGAAGAAAACATGGCTTTCTGCTTGGAAAGGAAGGTCATGTCCTGAATTCATCTTTTACTTCTGTCACGACATCGGTAGCCTAGTGGTTAGCTACCGGATTCGTAATCGTGAGGTTCCGAGTTGAGGGTTCAAGGCTCAGCGCGAAGCAAACTTGTGGCCTTGAGAGAAAGGCACTTTACTCGTTTACTTTTTTATTACTTCATCCAGGTGTGAAAGGGTCCGGCATAAGACAGCGAAAGACTTTGCCAATATCGTAATATTTTAGCTGCTTTCACTGTATGCTTCTCAAGAAGTTGAAAGTGTGTTAGAACATGTTCATGTCTGGTGGGGTAATAGTATAGATTGTAAAGCGCGTATATCTTGGTATTGAGCGGGGGTTTGCGCAATATCAATGCTATTTACACGATGTATTATATTTTTATATTGCAATGTTTGGCTGACAAATTTGTCCAACACGCGGATATCGAATTCAGCTCGGCAGCTGAATTGTGAGGTACTTCGGGCATAATGATACTGGTTGAGGGTACATCGCTTTGCCTCGGAAATGATCTAAACGTTATTCCTTGTCAATTAACTCAATTATAAGGAAATTAAGGAATCTTATAACCAGTAAACATTGCACAAAGTCTCTCAAATCTCCATTTGATATTCTGATCTTTTTGAGGACTGCCCGATTTTCTGTCATGGAGGGGGTGACGTCGGTAACGTAGTTGTGAGGCTACCGAACCTGTAACTCGAACCTGAGCTCGGTCCGATGTTGTGTCATTGGCAAAAGTACTTTCACAAATCTCCCATTTGGCTAGGTCCGTTCGGAGATAGGCTTTAAATTTGGAGATTCCCCCTCTCAAATAGCCTAATAGCATTGACATGGGTGTTAAACCTCTACCACATTACCATTTTATTTTAACATTTCTTCGTGGGGGGCAAAAGCTACCATTTCGGCACATTTCATATACACGTATTTCTAGAAAATCGAACGTGTTTCATTTTGAAGGTACCTATTCGATAAGATTGCTAAAGCAGTCAATCAGAAGACAAATACTATGATTTGAGGAGTCAGATCTTTTGTTTGCGTGGTGAATCTGATAAGCACTGTTTGACATCCGCCCATACTTTGATGAAGCAAAGCAGAGGTCAGTTTGAAATATCGTGCACTGGCAGGCGTTGTCCTTTAAATTTACAAAACCTTATCACATTATCAAATATAGAGATTTGGCAAATCTTTTTGGTGTTGGCCCAGAGTATTCAGATATTTTACTACCCTAGTAGTAGTAGTAGTAGTAGTAGTAGTAGTAGTAGTAGTAGTAGTAGTAGTAGTTTGTAGGCGCTAAAACACTAACATTCTGACACGATCTTTCGCCTTCTATGGTCGGGTACCAATTCCCACCTTGGTGAAGTGAGGAAAATTAGTGTAAAGTGCCTTTCCCGAAGACACAACGTCAGGCCCACGGTTCGAACCCCCGAACCCTCAACCTCACGATTTCGATTCCGGTAGCCTAACCTCTATTACAAAATTGTATCTGCTTGGTAGCCTACCTAATTTGGAGAAATTTGACATTTAAAAAGCTTGAGTTTCACATCATGTAAAGCTTTTTTTAACGCAATTATTTTATATATTGATAGTGACTCCGAATAATTTTGAGATTTTGATAGAGCAGATATAGCATTTATTGGTTTCTAACCTTATAGTCTCAATATCTCAAAACGGCCAAACAAGTCAGATACAACTTTGCAATTCAAAGGTAGCGAAATATAGAGATTTGACAAAACTTTTTGTTATCAACCCCAAGTATTCACATGTGTCACGACACGGTGGGATCAGGTGCTAGTAATTTTTGGGCGTACGGAGTTAAAGGTATAACATTAACGCTTGCTCATTGTTCTTGCTTTTTTGTGAAAATAAAACCCATTTGTCGTGCATAGAAGTCGAGTTATTAACAACTGGAGGAATCAAGGTCACCTGGAGTCGAAGGTAAAATTAGCGATTAAATGACCACCATAGTTTTGTCAATTCCATAGCGTGAGTGTTCTTGGGAACTGAAAATATACAGTTGTTTGTGCCTTTGATCAACATTTTTCAGTAAAAATAAAGCAGGAATGTTTTTACGTTAATATAAAATGTGTTGAGGGCAGAAACAAAACAAAACAAAACAAACAAACAAACAATACACCAAAGAAATTGACACACGGGTGAGAAAATGTCCATTACTTCGATTTCATAATTATGACGAGCGGCTGATTTAATTTTCATCAAAATTCCACTCAATTGTAGAGAACAATGTCAATAAATGACAAACTGACAAAAATTTTGGCAATTGCCACCTAGCGCTAAGATATGTCTATTGTACTCATAGCCAAATTGAGGGCGCTGCTATTTAACGTTGTCTGATTGGAATGAAAGCACGTTATCTGCAGGACTCATTAAACATTTACTTAAATAGCTATTAACAAATGAGGGGAGGATATTTTCGACTGAAATCTTTCACTTTGATCTAAGCTGGTGATCATTGCCACTTTTGACGTAAATTGTACGCTAACCAATTTATCAGGGTACCACAGGCTGAAGAGGTCAAAATGTACACAAATCTAAGCTCCTTTCCTGAAATAGGTTATACTCGTCTTTTGCGCTTGGAGTCACGATTAACTCCACGTTTTCTCCACGGAGAGTGGAGACCCTGGGTGTACAAAATAGGTCAAATAATTTCCAAATGGAAGACTTAAGTGTTCCTTTACCAAAATTTATCCCGGGCTTGTTATTTGATAAAATGTATTTGCGGCATTGAAAGTTGTCGAAAAAGAGGAAGACGAAGAAAAAACGGGGCTGACAACAAATAATGAACTGATTGTTTCGGAAGAGCACCCCAGGACGGATAGACAAACAGAAGGATATGTCGCCTCCTGAAAGACAGGGACGTTAAACCTTTTCATTTTCAGATGGACATGAAAAAAATTCGTAACATTTTCTGCGTCTCCCCCCCCCCCCCCCCCCCACCAAACCAAGGGTGGGAGGAACAAGCAGCCAAGCCAAGTGAGTGAGTGAGTTAATGAGTGATTTACAAAGGAAGACCACTGATATCGTGGTGTGATGGTCAGGATCCGAGTCCATGTACGCAAAGGAATTAATTTTAATTCTTACTTCAGGAAGGTTGACCAATCGTATCGGTTACAATTATCTGCTTGGGTACTGTATCCTAACCAATCAGGGTAGGCCTTGACGCCTAAATGAGCCACGACACAGTGACATGAAATAAGGCGTTTGTCATTAAAATGAAATTGGAGAACACATTTGTCGCCTGCTAGTCAATTTCATAGAATATTCTTTTAGACCAGAACCTTTCACGCCCATTCAAAATCAATGCCGTGAGGATTTTACTGAACTATGTAGACTAAAAGTATATACACTTGCCGCTTCCAAGGACACCTAAGCTTTGGAAGTCACAACACTTAAACGGCAATTTCCTCGATGATGCTATCACTGACGTCAGGCGCTAATATCTTGACTGCTATTTCAGACAGATAGGTACTTTTTATAATAAAAAGCAAAAGCAAATAACTAAACTTTAGGATGGTACCAATAACTTTAAATAATTCCCAAAACTTCACAAGCACCTTTTTCTGCAGTGTCTTGACACATATATCCTATGTGACTTGAGTTATGTCTGAGGGTGCGTAAAACGATTACAAAGACATGTACACGTCGGTTGTCTCGGCTCAGTAGTCAGAAGTATACGAGTCTGACCTAATTCTCTGCAGGTAGAGGTTCCCTTCTTTGTGGGATCCGATTATTGGTTCAAGATTTCCTTTCAGTCTGATTTGGGGAGAACCGGACCGACAGAAACAAGCATGTCTCCATGATAAATAAATGACACCTTCATGGATTGATTGAACGCCTTTTACAGCATTGTAAAGTTAATTAAGAGGCGGGACCTCCAAATGTACCGCGCTCTTCTGGTCGGGCTAAGCCAAGCAGGCCCTGAAATGTAAAAAGAAAAACAGAAGAAAAAACAGTTCAAGTATGCCCCTTAAGAGATTCGAACCATGGTTAATCACATAGGAGTGCAAAGTCGTACCAGATGAGCGGACTTAATTGCACCAGCGCTTCTCCTTCAACCACCCCCTTCCCCCCAAAAAAAACCCTAAACAAAACCAAAAAACAACAACAACAAAACCAACAAAAACAACAACAGCAAACAAACAGTGGGAGGTTGGCGGGTGCTCTGGTGTGGTTTGCTCCTTCTTTCCTATCAAACATCTATCGTCCTTATCTCCCCTTCTTTTTTGTTTGTTGCTCTCTTGAAACACCTCTAATCTCCTGACGCTCATATGACCTTATGCAGTTGTGAGCGCCGTAAAACCTGTATTAAAACGAAAAGCAACAAATAAACAAACAAAAAAGCAACAACAACTCACCCCCCAACCCCCCCTCCCCCCAGAAAAACAACAACAAAATTAGTTGATTGTGATTGGTAGACCTTGCAAGCTCCGAGAACTATCACAAACCAATTATGAGTCTGTCTCTCTCTCTCTCTCTCTTTCTCTCTCTCTCTCTCTCTCTCTCCTCTCTCTCCTCTCTCTCTCCTCTCTCTCCTCTCTCTCCTCTCTCTCTCCTCTCTCTCTCCTCTCTCTCTCCTCTCTCTCTCCTCTCTCTCTCCTCTCTCTCTCTCCTCTCTCTCTCCTCTCTCTCTCTCTCTCTTGTTTTTTCCCTCTTGGGTCGATTATGAGGACTCAAAATGTTGAATAGTAGTCTGCTCAATAACACCTACGTGTCTTTCTTTCTTCCTTTCCGTCCACCCACTCGACTGGAGAGGTTCGCCTCCTCCCCCACATCGTATCGCTTGAGTGCTCGCGTGCGAGAATGCGCGGTGCGGTGCGGTGCGGTGCGGTGCGGTGGCGTGTGATGCGGTGTGATGCGTGCGGTATATGAGCCACGGTTACAAGCGGCGTCAGTACGAGTTTGTGTGAAACTAGAGTGGTTCTCTCCCTTGGTCTGTGTCGAGTCGTGAAAGTTGCCACTCATTGAGCACGAGCACGAGTGAGTCTTTGGAGCAGACGGCACAAGGAGCAGACGACAAGAGGACGAACGGACTTTGGGAGAAAAACAGAACCAACCCCCTCTCGCGACGCCAAATTTGTAAAGAATACTCGACACTATAAGAAAACAGTAAGTGGAATTTGTAAAGTTTATATCAGTCGGCTCCGCGGTGTGGGAAATGCTTTTAGAACTTTAAAAAACATTGACACCTAAAAGAAACAGTAACAGTGAATGATTCCCCCATTAGGTATATATTAAGATACATATTGTGGGTAAGTTTTATAAACTTTATAAAACATTCTTCTCCCGTGATGTGGGGAAACGAGAACTATGTAAAAATCGACGGAGTAAAAAACACAAATAATTTTTTTTTAAACTCCACTTTTTAATCAAAATTTTAAACATTTATACAAGCCTGTACACCAATGTGAGAAAAGATCATAGAACTTTTGATAAATACCCCCCCCCCCCAACCTCCTCCCCATTTAAGAAAATATAATAAAACCCAAAGAAACTCCAGGGCGTGATTTTCTTTTATGTCTATATTGATAAACGCATTATGAATTAATATTATCAGCAACACAATAAATCTTCATTAATTAATAAACTGAAAGCTATAGGAATATATAAACAAACAGAAACTTAACCTTCCAAAATAGTAGATATCTTTTTTAAAAAATATTCAGAGAGCCCCATCCGTGGTCACTTTAACTCACAGTGGATCCCTGTTCCGCTCGTTGGACTTGGCATAAGGACACGTGTTTGAGCATTACAATCTCGTAATTCATATTGATTTTTCAATTCTGTTTTCTTTTTCTAAAACTTAAAAGGCAGGCAACAACAACAAACGGTTCTGCAATTAAATATGCAAACTCTTGTTTCTGATTTGTGTACTATGATGATTCCAAATGTTCTGTAACGTTTCCCTTTTGTCTGTAACTATTGGTCGGACTGATTATTATGTGTCCGGACCGGGTTTAACCCACTTACGACGGGCCTTCTAGTCTTTCGACATTGTTTGAAGACTTGCTGTTTTGGAACAGAACTTTGTTGTTCATACATAATAAGTTTCTAACTGTTTTCTTTATCGTAAATTTCAAAAGCCAGGTATTCTAAGGTAGAGTAATTATTTTTTATTCTGGTCTGCGCATGACGGTTCGGACAGATGTGTCCGTTTCGTATATAAAGAGATAACTAGAAATATAAGCAAGCGAAAAAATGGTAGAAGTTCTACTTATGGAAGAGCATTCGATGTTGCGCTGTCCAAAAGCTATTTTTGATCTTTTTTCCGTTTCCGTCAATTCTTATTTATTGGTAACTATAGGAAGTCATTTACAATTCCGAGGCTTCATTTTGATAACATTATCTCTTTTGCATCCCTTCTATACAAAGTGGTGCTAAACTTTTCTTCTTTTTCTTTTTTCTTCTTTTTCTTCTTCTTCTTCTTCTTCTTCTTCTTTTTCTTCTTCTTCTTCTTCTTCTTCTTTTTCTTCTTCTTCTTCTTCTTCTTCTTCTTCTTCTTCTTTTTTTTCTTCCTCTTCTTTAAATGAACATTCCTAGGGGGCCCTCGTGGACTAGGGGTTAAGGTGTTCGCCTCTCATTCAACGGTCCCGGGTTCGAATCCTGGTTGAGAGGGAAACATTTTTCTTCTCAAAAATTGTCTCTTTTCACCTCCTTTTCTACTCTCTTGCAATGTTCTGTCTTCTGCTTTCGTCTCCACTTTCTGCCCCCCCCCCCTTTGCCCCCTCCTCTGGGCTCCTGACTCTTTCTGCAGCCTTTCTAATGTTACTCTTTGGCCCCTTCTTACTGATGTCTTTCAGCAACACCCCTGATCTTCTGGTAGGAAAGATCTACACCTAGCCATCTCGGACAAGGGCGAAAAATCTCGGAAGTCCCGTGCGCAAGTTGTACACGTAAAAGATCCCATGTTTGTTTAAAATCGATGAGAGTAGACTTCGGCCGCCACCCCGGCAAAATCAAAATTTCGTACCAACTGAAAATGTTTGCTGTGTCCCGCGCGTTCCTATGACCTTCCGCAGTTGCGTGCGCCGTAAAACACTTACCGAAAAAAAGAACTTTCCAATCTCTTACTGTGCGAAGGCTGCTGTTCACGTTAAGTAAGTCACCCAGGCTTCCGATGAACGTTTGTTCCCTCTGCTTAAGGGTGGGCTAATGTTTCTTCCATCATTGTACCTTGTGCACTGAGCAGGTAGGTAACAGACAGTTTCCTGTGGGTCGCCGGCCCGGCATTGACATTGCTTTAAGTTTCTGACCCCGTTTTTCGCAGTGCATAGGTTAAACACCCATTGCGACCCGTTTAACATAAATTTGATATGGTCAACTAATGTTGCTAATGACACATCTAAGCTGAAAGGCGGAGTTAGGAAATAACCAACTTCATGAGATTGGAACTAACGTCGTTTGCTTTCGATGCAAGTGGTTGTGATTTAACCTACACTCAGTAAACTTCAGATTGGTATTGGGACTTTGTCCAAAGTTCGAAACAAATTAGTATCGTGAAATATAAAGAAATACTTGAACGAAAAAGAAAATACGAGCTTTATCAACGAGCCTGTGTTGTCCGTATGTCAACCATTGAAAGTGTTTTTAGTAAGTTGGACACGTGGATACTGGGATATAGATGCTTTTATTTCATTTTTGAATATAGGTAATTTGACCCCTCCCCTATCGATAAATAATACTGAAACAAATAAATAAATAAATAAATAAATAACATTTAGATCAATTATGAGGAGGCTTTCGACCCTGCCTGTCAGGGCCAACCCGGGCTGAGAGGGAAATATTTCCCTGCATAAAAACCGAGATTACTTGCTAAAGGTTCTATCAACAGAGGAGTCATACTCGAGCCTACGGCTTGCTGTGGCGAAGAATTTAACCGCTACACATCAGGCGCTGGTACTATTTATTATTTTTAGTTAATGTCGTCAGTTAGTAGTATAGTATTAATTGTTATGATATTCCGAATCAATATTTGTGGGTCACATGTTCACAAACCACGGGAAATCTTTGTGATTTTTTTCCTCCTAGAATAAAAAAAAGATGTCGTCGTTGATTTCTTCCTGTGGCTAATGATGGTCTTTGAAACATAAGCGCTTTTTGTAAGAATCGATGCTCGTGGAACAAGGAGTCAAATCTATCAAACGAAAGTACTCCTCTGGAAGTTAATTACTCGCGACAAAACAGTTCTGCTAAGATGAGAGAACTCCAACATAAAAAGGTGGGTTAGGAAAGGGGCTTGTGGGGGTGGGGTGGGGGCTTTTATCTAGATTCATTGTGTGTGTGGGGGGGGGGGGGAGGGTAGTACAACAGAAATGGTTAATCTCGAAGTATTACGAAGGGAAAAAAAATATTTCTAAAATTGTTTACCGTATGGATAAGATGTTTGAGGGCTTTTTGTGAGGAGGGATAATGTATGGGTAGAGTTTGGGAGGAAGGGGGTAGACAGTCGTTCAGATTCAACATACTGAGGAAGAGTCTATTCTGGACACAAGCAGGGACAATAAATGTTGAAATTGACGAACCTTAGCGGCGTAGTATACCCCATCAGGTCAGAACTTCATCATAGGCAACTTAACCCCTCCTTCTGAATACAAGGCTCGGAGGACTGACGTCGGTAGTGTAGCAGTTAGGCGCTTTGCTGTCGCACGTAGCAGACTCGAGTTCGATTCTCAAGTGAGGAGCATTTTTATCAAATCTTGGTCATTCTGCTGGGATGTTGTATCTCTCTGAGCTCTGGTTGGCCCAGACAGGCACGGTTGGAAGCCTGCCTCCGTAGTGATATAAATTGTGTCATTGTGGACCTAACCACATTCAAGAACTTGATACTTTCAAAGTATAATGACCCAAGTTATCTCTTATATCCCACCTGTGTGGTGGGCAAAGGTGTAACATATTAATAATATAGTTACTTTTAGAGGCTTGGGACTTCATACGTTCAGCCGTAAAACAATTATTGTGAGCTAATTAATTTTGCTGTTTGTACTTGGAAACATGTAAGAGAGCGACAGGTCGAACCCGAGACATCAACACGATAATTACGAACGGAATTATCGAAGTTGCTTGTGGCAACAGTTAGGCACTCCGACTCTCAACCGTGAGGTCGTGGCTTCGAATCCAGTCAGGGCCCCGATGTTGTGTCCTTGGTAAAGGCACTTAAACGAATGTTCCTGCCTTTTCCCAGATGGGAAAGCAGTAGAAAGCAAAATATCTTGTCAGCTTGTTTGTGTTAATGTTTGAGCACGCGTAATGAACAGATTACACTGTATACTTCACGGGAAGCCGATAATGTTTCTGAGTGTTGTAGGGTCTGCTGGAGTAACAATATTGATTTGTAATAATTAATAGTGTTGTTCCGTTTGAAACATAATCAGTATTCTGATAGTAACCCAATGACGTTCTGAAGATGCAGGCTATAAAGGTCATTTGGATACTTTAAGATGATTAAGATGATAGGTGTTTAATCGATGATGGTACAATAAGTGCCCTTTTGCATCTTTTTTTGTTAGAAATCACAAGCATAGGTCTTTTACTTCTTTTTAATTTTAATTTTAGGAAAAATGGCGGATGCCGTTTGTCCAAAAAGATGGAATAGATTTTTTGGAGCAAGCAATATAATAATTATTATGACGAAAGTTTCGAAGAAATATGTTCCACCTGTTTTTAAAAAAACCCAAATTGAACCACTTTTTACCGCAGATTTATACTGCCAGACCTATTGAAAAAGTCCAAAGAAAACGGGCATTTGGTTAGTATAATGAAGAAAGATAAAGTACTTTTAAACAAACGACAGGGTCGACACCCGCCTTTGAAATGATCTCAATTTTGTTGAGAAGGCCCCCCCCCAAAAAAAACACACAAAAAAACAAAAACAAAACTGATACATTTAGTAAAACCATTTGGAAGTTTTCCCGTGCGTGTTTTTATTCATCTCTCTTTTCTGATCCCTCAACAGTTAGCGCTGCCGTAGAAATATGACGTCCCTTCTGCAATGTAACTAATATATTTGAGGAATTTTAAGTTTAAAAATTTAGTTTTCATAACCAGTCAAGCTGTTTCGAATGCAGTTCTTTGAATATCTTGATAGGGTATATAGAACATTAATAGGTTTC